CTTGCTGCAAAAAGGACAGCACAACTCTGATCGGCAGCCTTCGGGGGTCTTCTCGGTGAGAAGAACACCACTCAACGAACAGGTTCCACTTTAAAGCGTAGGCGTGTCTTGTAGACGGTGCTCTCGCTGAAGTGATGGTGTCAACTACCTCTTGAGGTAGGTCACTTAGAACCGACCTCAAAGGGTGCCCCGTCTCTGAGTCAGTAGATCCTTCCTCAGAGGAATCGGCCAAGGAGGGGCTGTCGCGAGGAGCATTAGTTCCGGGAACCAGGCCTGGGTAGGCCAATAGGGTGCCACCAACAGGACCTGCTTCTCGTCCTCCCTGACCTTGCACAGCATCTGTGCAAGAAGGCTCACTGGGGGAAACGCATATTTGCGAAGGCCCAGCGGCCAGCTGTGTGCCAGTGCGTCCATGCCGAGTGTTCCCTCGGCCAGGGAGAAGAACAACTGGCAGTGAGAGGTTTCTGGAGAGGCAAACAGATCTACCTGAGCGGCTCCAAAACGTCTCTAAACCAGCTGGACCGTCTGGGGATGGAGTCGCCATTCTCCCGAGAGCGCACCTCGAGACAGCTCGTCGGCTGCCTGGTTGAGCAGCCCAGGAATGTGAACAGCACGAAGCGACCTCAGATGCTTCTGACTCCAGAGGAGGAGGTGGCGGGCGAGTTGCGACATGCGACGGGAGCGCAGATCACCTTGTCGGTTGATGTACGCAACGGTCGCTGTGTTGTCCGTGCGGACTAGTACATGCTTGCCTCGTAAGCGTCCTTTGAGACGGCTCAGGGCAAGGTGCACTGCCAGCAACTCGAGGCAGTTGATGTGCCAGTGCAGTTGGGGCCCCATCCAAACCCCTGACACTGCAAGCCCGTTGTATGTGGCCCCCCAGCCGGTGGTTGAGGCATCCGTGCAAACCTCAGCATGCCTGGAGACCTGCTCTAGTGGCACTCCTGCCCAGAGAAACGCAAGGTCTGACCACGGGGTAAAGGTTTGGCGGCAGGCCGGTGTAACTTGAACCCAGAAAGTGCCGCGTTGCCACGCCCACTTCGGGACTCAGCCATGGAGCCAGTGCTGCAGCGGTCTCATATGGAGCAGCCCCAGC